TATGTACAATCAATGGTTTCAATGACCAACCGTTAAAACCAACTATCTTTTTATAATCTAAAATAATCCATTTAAGTCCGTGTGGGATTTTAAGAATATTCATAGGGATTTAAATTAATCCCAGTATCGTGTGGGATAATAGTCCTCGCAGATATAGTGATTCTCAATTTTTATTTTGCAAATAATCATGTAATACACAATTAAAAATAATTAATTAAATTAATGCATTTAACTTGTAATCTATTCACCAATTATAGCTTTTAGTCATGTGAGATTTTTAAAATCTCCGTAGACATCTAAGATAGTCGTATATCGTATGAGTCAATAAGACTCTGTAAATATAACGATTAAGCTTTCTAAAACATATATGTAGAAATTATATATTAAATTAATTAACTAAAAAGATGTATTTAAATAAATTTAATTTCTTTATCGTGTGAGATTTTAGAATCTCCGCAAATATTAGGATACTCACATTACCATATAAGTCAATAAGGCTTTGCAGGTATGATGATTTAAATTCTTCAAAAACATGTATATACACACTTAAAACATATTATTAACACTTAAAAATATACGTAAGAATATAGAATAAATTAAATTGCTAAACTCTTCTATCGTGTGAGATTTCAAAATCTCCGCAGATATTTAGAGCAATTGCATTACCACATGAACCAATAAGGTCTGTAGTTATTGCAATTAAAATTCCCAATCACAAGAGATAAAAAAAAATCTTTTAAACCATTTCCTTTTCTTTAACTCAAAATTCAAAAATTGAGAAAATAATTAAAATAAATTACCTTTTGCAATTTAAAACACACATATCAAAATTTCAGAAATTGTTTTATTTGCAAAATGATGAGTTATTTCTAATTAATCTCTTCAAAAAATATTTTTACCGACAAACTCTTAAGCCCGAACTACGTGGACTTTGATCCCCATCACAGGGTACGTAGGCCTCAGAGTCAGATTCTGAGTCAAGTCCGTCCTTGTAAATAAATAAATATTTTTCACCTAATTCTTATCATTTTTATCAAACACATAAATACAAAAGGGATAATTAAAATAATCATAAAATCATATTAAAAGAGCAATAAACTTCAGGTAACCGTTCTGACGAACGGGTGTTGTGGGGTGCCTAACACCTTCCCCACACTCAACCGACTCCCGAACCTATTCTCTGATTTTGCAGATCACCCTTATCCTCCTTTAATCGGTTCCCGAGATTTACCTCAAAATCTTGGTGGCGACTCCTCGTTCGATCCGGTTCTCGCCGCGAAGGCCGGGACCTCGCTCGCGCGCCGTCCGCGTCGCATTTTTTCGGGTGCGACAGTTGGCGACTCCACTGGGGAGATATGAGAGTCAAGCCTGTATAATTTGTTGCGCTCAAAATATAATATAGTTTTTCTTTATCCCTTTTAATTTGTGTGGGTTTTTTTTCCCTTCCTTTTTTTTTTCTTTCTTTTTTTTTTTCTTCTCTCTCTCTCTTTTTGATTCTTATAACATGTCTTAGGATAGATAACATGCGAAATGAACCTTAGGATAGATGACTTTTATTTGTACATATATTTGTTTCTCTATTTGATCTGATTAAAAGTTGGGAGTTAGGTAGCATATGAGAATAAGATAGCATGCTTGCATGCTCTCATCACACTATACACTTACACAATTTGACACACACATATTTTGGGCCCTATACCCGGGTCTGTGAGTACTATAGGTTAGTAGAGGTTAGTAGTGGTTTCCCTGTGGAGTTTTGAACTCTCGGAGGTTACCATGACCTCACCCAAGCTGTTACTTGCCTAATAAATTTGGTCCCTGTAGAGCTTATGTTCTTGGAGGGCCAAAATATTAAGTAAGGTCTTCACCTTTGTGTGAGGGCATCTTGGGAGCCTTTTAGGAATATACATCCACCCGTGAATTACACGTTTCAGACACACAGCTAGTAGCCAACCATTCGTGAGCACCCGATTATGAACTTAAGTCTCCCTGAATAGGACGCAGGATGAGAGTATTGATCTTTTATTGCATCATTGTCATAGCATGTCATCATAAAGTATTCGCATTTTTTTTAAAAAAAACCACAAATTAAATAATTTCTCTTGTCATTGAGTTATTTCATTTTTAAAGTTGAGACTTTAGCCATGTGTCAGTTTTAGCTGCACATAGGCTAATTAATCCCTTTCTCCCTATGGGGCAATAAGCACATTGAGGAGAGAATGGATTTTTTCCTTGCATATCTATTATCAAAATCATTTTTATCATTTTTTTTTTCTTTTCTCAAAAATAAGATTGTAAGGCTAAACCTTTCAACATTAATCATGTAGGGGATTTAAGCCTCTCGTCCATTAATTGTTTACTCCATCTCCCTATGGTGCAATAAGTATCTAGAGGAGAGGGTTTCAAAAAAGTGAGCCAGATAGCTTGCTAAAATTATGAGAATTGTATATTATTAACCTTTGTTTTGATTAACAGGAACCGTGAGTTATTCCAGAATCTTTGTGAAATTGGCATAAGGGATAAATGGCACTCGAAGGTAGTACAAATCTAAGTCATACTGGAAAATTATATCAGGGAAAAGGGATCAAATTATCTGTAAAAGTTGAGCCGCTGGAAACCTTAATTGAGTTGAGCCGTCATATCAAAGGGAAGATTATGCAAGATTTTAAAAGGAAATATGGAAATATCTTGGATCTTCTGTCAGTCACAATACATAATGATGCAATAATGGAATTAAGCCAATATTGGGATGCCTCGTTAAGATGTTTCACATTTCAAGACTTCCAAATGGCACCGACTTTGGAAGAATATGGAGAAATTTTGAGAATGCCCCTTAAGGAGAACATGGCAGTATATCTTTATCCTGGATATTTACCATCTCGAGGCACGATAGCGAAAATTTTGGAAATTCCTAAGGAAAAGGTACGAATGGTTTGCCCAGGACAAACAGAGGGAATCTCAAGAGCTGATGTAGAAGCCCACTTGAAAGTTTTTGGCAGGAAAAGAGGCTTGGGTTACATTTTGCAGAGTCTTTGCCTTATGCATATATGGAATAATCCTGTTTCCATCATCAATTGGCATAATTGACTTAGGAGCCATTAGTGTATTCCAAATGGTGGAATACCATAACGTGAATCCGGTACCAGCAATCTTGGCAGAAACGTACTTGACCTTAACTCAATGTCACGATAAAGGGAAAGGAAAGGTCAATTGTTGTATTGCATTACTGGATTTATGGATGCTTGGCCACCTTTATGGAAAGACGCTTCCTTTCAGAAAGAAGAACGACTCAGACAGTAATCCACTCATGTCTTTTAAAGGCCAATTCGTGATTGACGGAATGAGCTACATGGATTGGAAAAGAACCTTCTCAGAACTTAAAGAAAGTTCCATTTTATGGAAACTAGACTGGTGGTGGAAAGAGGAGGTTATTTACCATTGTGGTGACTTTCCGAATGTGCCTTTAATGGGACCCAGAGGGTGTATCAACTATAACCCTTCCTTAGCGTTAAGGCAACTGGCCTATAAGCAAAATGTTCCTTCTAAGAAAGAGGTGCAGGAGTTATACTTTCTACATAAGGAGGATGGGACAAAGTTATCAAACCAGAATGTCAAAGAAGCATGGCAAGAGATAGGTTACAAAGGGAAGATTGAGCTAGGGATACGTGTAGTAAACTCAAGTCCAGAATACACTACTTGGCTGAAGAGTATGATTCAAGGAGCAAATCCTTATTTCATCCTCAAAATCCCTTGTTAGGCAATGACTTGAAAGAGATTAATGGGCAATTGGTTGAATGCTTGAAGATGAAGGAAAATGAGTTACAAGCGCTTGCTAACTCCAGAGTCTAAGAATAAAGAAGAATTGGAAAAATACCAAAATGAATGCGTTGAGTTACGGAGGAAGCTAGCAAAGGAAAGAGAAGGGCATAACCTTGAAGAAACACCTGAGACTAAGAAATTGAAAAAGGAAAATGCCAAACTGAAAAGGGAAGTGCAAACTAGTGATAACAAAGTTCAAAGTACTAAAGCAAGACTTGTCAAAATAGTCAGAGAAAATGATGCATTGAAGAAGGAATTACAAGACATCAGACCCATTGAGGAGATGCAGCAAGAAATCAATACGCTCACAAGACAATTGGAAGGAAGGTGAATGAACTAGCCAGGGTGAGAGGAAGTGCAGCTGAGACAGCACAGAACTTTGTTCAGAGGCTTAATCAACAAAATGAAGTCTTAGAAGAGTGGAAATCACTTTGCCTTGATCAAACAGAAGAAACCAAGAGTGGATGTTAAAATGTAGGCAGATAATTGATTTGGCTAATGACAAAATTCCAGAATTTGCAAGAGCATTTAAGCAAGCTGAAGGCATGGTTCTCCCTAGAGGAACTCCATTAGAGATTGTTGAATTCTTCCATTTGTGCAATGAAATTGTAAAAGAACTCAATAGCGTGACAAAGTTCTAAATCTGTATTAACATTTGAATCATTGTATGAGGATCCAGATGACGCTTTGTGGTTGTGAAATTGTTGATTGATTTGTACTACCATCATTGTCTTAAAACCTTGAATTTTGATAGGATCCAATGTCCTTCTAATTCAATGGTCAACTTTGAATCCCCTATGAAATAATAAATTTCTGGAGGAATTTAAAGGGTGCTAGTGTCGTGAAACCCTTATGTCTACACAATGCTGGATATCTTACGAAACAAACGTAAAGGTAAAACTTATTAAAATTAATTATTATGTTACACAGGTAAGCCAACATTGCGCCTCGAAAGAAAAACTCGGTTGACCAGATTCCCGCCACTGAGCATACAACACACGATCGCGTCGTAGTCGTGCAATGGAAAATTCAAACGTGAATGAGTCAGCGACCTTAAATGATCGGATGTCTGCAGTGGAGTCTAAAATGGCCGAAATAAGTGACATGATGAAATTGCTAACAGAGGCTCTAAAAGGACGGAGTGATGATAACCCACCACAGAATACCGTAGCAGATGAGAACGCAGCTAATAGAACAATTGAGCCAAACAGAAGATCAGATCCTAAAGTACCCACGCCAGAAAAACAAGATTCTGGGATAGGGGCCTTTAACATACCGGATGGTCCTGGGGAAGATCATGCCTACATGTTCCAAATCCCACAAGTGCTACATAAAGAAAAGGAGTTGAAAGAAGAACTTGGAGAGATGAAAGATCAATTGAAGGCTCTTCAAGGATCAAACACGTGGGGTTCCTTAGACTTGAAAGAATTATGTTTGACCCCAGAAATTGATGTTCCCAAGAAATTCAAGATGCCAAGCTTCGATAAATATGATGGTACAAGTAACCCAATTTATCATTTGAGGGCCTATTGCACAAAGATGTCCATATGGTCACAAGATGAGAAGTTTCTGATAAACTTCTTTCCTGAAAGCTTAACTGGAGCCGCATTGACTTGGTACATGCAACTAGACCAAACCAAGATCAAAAGATGGAAAGACCTTGTGGATGTTTTCATGAGACAATACAAGTTCAATCTTGATACTGCTCCGACCAGAGAACAATTGAAAGCAATGACCAAGAAATCATCAGAGTCATTCAAAGAATATGCTCAAAGATGGAGAATAGTGGCTTCGCAAGTGCAACCTCCAATGGTTAATTCCGAACTTTGCTCGTACTTCATCCGTGCATTGCCTAAGCCATTTTACCAACACATGATAGGAACACATGTCACTGATTTTGCTGATTTAATGGTAATTGGGGAAAGGATTGACATAGACATACAGAAGGGAAGATAGCCACCTCTCAAGCTGAAAGTAGTTCACGAAAGAACTATGACCAAAAAAAGAAAGAAGGGAATGTGAACTATATTCAACCTATAAGACAAGCAGCTACCAATTCTCAAGTCCCTTATCAAGTAGAGGGAAGGAATCAAAGACAGCAACAATTTGGGTTCAGGCCTAACAAGCACGGACAGGATGGAGAGAGGAGAAATGTCCAATCCAGGGATAGTCGCCCATGGCCCAATTTTGGATTAACAAATGCTGAATTGTACCATAAACTTTTGACAGCCCAATTATTAGGTCCGCGACCTTATAAGCCTCTTGGTCCGCCTTACCCGGCATGGTATAATCCAAATGTTGTTTGTGAATACCACATGGGTGCACCTGGGCACTCAATAGAAGACTGTGTGACGTTTAAAAGGAATGTGCTAGACCTAGTTGATTCTAACCATATCCAGCTTAAAGAAGAGGGAAGCTCTACCCTTACTACTGATCCACTCCCAAATCACAAAAAACGAGTCAACGCTATTGAAGAAGAAGATGCGTGCTTCAAAAGCTCCGCAAGGATCAGGATGCCTATGAATGAGCTTTATGCTCACTTAAAGGAGTATGGCTATATGCGAGAAATGCTCCTCACGAATAATATCAGTGATCAAATGCCTGGATACTGTGAATATCATCAGGAGAAAATAGGCCATGACATAGAAAGTTGTGAACAGTTTAAAGGAGCTGTTAGAAAAATGATGGCGTTAGGGATCGTGTCTGTAAAGAAGGGAGACGCCAAAGTGTGCATGGTAGAAAAAAAACATGTTGAGCTTGTCATTAAAAATTCGAGCCAAAAGAACGGGTTCAGGCAGTCTTTTTGTGATAAACAAAGCCTCTGCAGATCTTGTACCTCACGTAAGACAACCAACATTGACCATAAGCACGCCTCATCCCTTTCCCTATGAAAGTGATCGAGCAGTCCCGTGGAAATATCAAAGCATTGTGGAGAACCACAAAAACCCAACGTTGATTGCCGGGACAAGCAATGAAATGGCAAACCAAGGGGGTTACTCGAAGTGGAAAACCATACTTACCATCTTACATTAGGAAAATGGTAAAAGAGAAAAATGCAAGTATTGACAGGCCAAAGGAAGATAATCCTAAAGAAATGGAAAAATTAGAAGATGAGTTTTTATCGATTATGAAGCAAAGTGATTACAAGCATTGTGGACCAATTGAAGAAAACTCCAGCGCGTATCTCCATACTTTCTTTGATTTTGAGTTCCGAAGCGCATCGCCAAGCATTGCAAGAAGTGTTGAATCAAGCTTTTGTGCAGCCTAATATAACCCCTGAGAAGGTGGCAAGTGTAATGAATGTTGTAAAAGCCTCCTCTACCATTTCCTTTTCGGAAGAGGAAGTTACAGAAACCGCTGTCCACCAAGCCAAGGCTTTGCACATCACTTTGAAATGTGAAGGGTTCATAATCGCAAGAGTATTAATTGACGGAGGATCAGCGTTAAATGTCTTGCCGCTCTCCACATTTGAATCATTATCACTAGAAGCTTCAAGTGTACATAAAAGTAATATTGTGGTAAGAGCATTCGATGGATCAAGACGGGAAGTATTAGGATCCGTTTGTCTCTCCCTGGAGATAGGGCCAAGCAGGTTTAAGGTGGATTTCCAACTCATGAACATAGACCCAAGTTACACAATGCTGCTAGGAAGGCCATGGATTCATTCTGCTAGGGCTGTTCCTTCTACCTTACATCAAAAGGTTAAGTTCATCAGTGATGGGAGAATTATAGCAGTTAAAGGAGAGGAGGAAATCATGGTGAGCAAACCAAGCTCACTCCCTTATATTGAGGCTGCAGAGAAAGATCATGGAGTTTCCTTTCAAAGCCTAGAGGTCGAGAGTATTTGCGATAGTACTCACAACATCAATTCCGTCGTGGCTAAAATCATGCAAAGAGTGGGTTTATGCCAGGGAAAGGTTTAGGCTCTCATTTACAAGGAATTACGTGTCCAATTAAGGTTTTGGATAATTGTAATCGCCAAGGGTTAGGGTATGAGCCTACCCTAGAAGACCAGATGAAAGACAAAGCAAGCTTGGCAAAAGGCAAAAAGGCTAGTAAATTGGAGATTCCACACATTAAAGAATCCTTCCCAGGCCCGTCCGAGATGATATATAAACCAACTATCTCAGTGATCTCTTTTAATGAAGATGTAGCATGCAGAACAAGTGCCTCAATTAGTCGATGATTCCAACAAAGTTCTAGCGAATTGGGAGTTTGAAGAGGCCAATGATGTCATTAGCTTAGAGTAATTGTTTCAATTATGTTGTTCCTACTTTATCCACTTTTGAGCCCAGGTTTAGGTAATAGATCTTGGGTATTCACTAATGCAAACTTTTGATACACATAATTCATGAAAATGAATTTCAATTGCATTCATGTCTATTTCTTTATTCCACCCTATCTACTTCAATACATCTTTCTCCGTTTCATTCCTGTTCCTTATTTTATCTCGTTCCATATTCATTATCCAGGGATTTTGTTTCTTCTGATTCCATCTCCCACCCAGAGATTAATAAACCCTGTGAAGATGATTCATTCGTTGCCACTGATATGCATGATTGTGAGTCTGATGATGAAGACATAATCCAAACTTTTTCAAAGATGCTTGAATTGAGTGATAAGGGAATATGCCCACATGAAGAAGTGATTGAGATGGTTAATATGGGAACCGAGGAGGATCAAAGAATGCTCAAAATAGTAGATAATCCTGAAAGAGAACAAATGATTGAGTTGTTCAAAGAATACATAGATGTGTTTGCATGGTCATATAAAGACATGCCTGGGCTAGACCCAAGCATTGCTTCTCATAAAATACCATTACTTCCCAAGGTCGAGCCTAAGAAACAGAAGTTAAGGAGAATGAACACGGGGGTGTCCTTGCAAATAAAAGAAGAAGTAATAAAGCAGTTAGAAGCAGGATTTTTGGAGGTAGTAACTTACCCACAATGGGTGGCAAATATTGTTCCTGTTCCTAAAAAAGATGGTCGGATTCGAATGTGTGTTGATTATCGTAATCTAAATAATGCGAGTCCGAAAGATGACTTTCCATTACCCCACATTGATGTATTGGTCGATAATACTGCTCGAAGCTATCGCTATTCCTTTATGGATGGTTATTCAGGGTACAATCAAATCCCTATGCATGAAAGGGATAAAGAGAAAACAACCTTTACAACCCAATGGGGAACTTATTGTTATCGGGTAATGCCTTTTGGTTTGAAAAATGCTGGGGCAACTTATCAACGAGCTATGGTAGCACTATTCCATGACATGATGCATAAAGAAATTGAAGTATATGTAGATGATATGGTAGCTAAATCAGCGGAGAATGAGAGTCATGTTGGAGTCCTTAGAAAGCTATTTGGGAGATTACGCGAATATCGGCTAAGATTGAATCCTAACAAATGCATTTTTGGAGCTCTTTCTGGGAAGTTATTGGATTCATTGTGAGTCGTAAAGGGATAGAAGTAGATCCAGATAAAGTGAGAGCAATTCGAGAAATGCCATCTCCCCAAACAGAGAAAGAAGTTAGAAGTTTCTTGGGACGATTGAATTACATTGCTAGATTCATTGCCAATCTAACAGCCACTTGCGAACCAATGTTTAAGCTGTTAAAGAAAAATTGCAAGGAGACATGGGATGATGATTGTCAAAAGGCCTTTGATAAAATTAAAGATTATTTGTTAAATCCCCCGATTTTGGTACCTCCATCACCAGATCGTCCACTAATCCTTTACCTAACAACTTTACCTCGCTCAATGGGAGCAATGCTAGGTCAACTTGATGATTCTGGAAAGAAGGAAAGAGCGATTTATTTCTTGAGCAAGAAGTTTAATGAGTGTGAAGCTCGTTATCCGGGATTGAGCAAACTTGTTGTGGACTAGTATGGGCAACTAGAAGGCTAAGGCAATACATGCTTTACTACACTACCTGGCTAATCTCACGAGTGGACCCACTTAAATACATCTTTGAGAGCCCGCACATTGCTGGTAGAGTACTAAAATGGCAAGTTGTATATCAGAATATGATATAAAGCATGTGATGCAAAAGTCAGTCAAAGGTAGTGCAATAGCAGATCACTTGGCCGATAATCCTTTAGGGGATGACCAGCCATTAGATTTTCAATTTCCTGATGAAGGCATATGCACTACAGAAGAAGGTTGTGGTGAAGGAAACAATGAAGAGCAAGAATGGGAAATGTATTTTGATGGAGCCGCCAACATGCATGGAAATGGGGTAGGAGCGGTGATCGTTTCACCAGAAGGAAAACAATTTCCAGTGGCCATCAAATTAGAATTTGATTGTACTAATAACATAGCAGAATATGAAGCTTGTGTTAATGGTCTTCGAGCAGCTATTACCCTTGGTATACGGTGCTTGAAGGTATTTGGTGATTCAGCTCTCATTATTCATCAAGTAACAGGAGAATGGAGAACAAAGGATGTAAAATTGATTCCCTATCAAGAACTCCTAACAGATTTGATTAAGCAATTTAAGGTTGCTAGCTTTCATCACTTGACTAGAGATAAAAACCGTTTCGCTGATGCTTTAGCCACTTTAGCAGTAATGATCCAACTTGATTGTGGAGTCCATATCCAACCCATCCAAGTAGAAGCTAGAAGCTTTCTAGCATACTGTCTGAATGTTGAAGAAGATCGAGAAGAATATCCTTGGTTCCAGGATATTAAGGATTATATCACTAAGAGATCATACCCAGCTGGAATGCTGAGAATGAAAAGAAAACCCTTCGTCGTTTGGCTATGACATTCTTTATCAGTCAAGATATTCTGTACAAGAGGGGTTATGATGGTACTTTACTTCGCTGTGTGAGTTCAGAAGAAGCAAAGAAAATCATGGTTGAGGTACATGAGGGCATATGTGGCACGCATGCGAATGGTCACACTATGGCCAAACAGATTCAAAGGTGTGGCTACTTCTGGCTAACAATAGAGAAAGATTGCTTTGAGCATGTCAAGAAATGCCACAAATGTCAGATCTATGCTAATAGGATAAATGCTCCTCCAATCCCATTACATAATTTAGTATCACCCTGGCCATTCTCAATGTGGGGCATTGACATTATTGGCCCAATTAACCCAAAAGCTTCGAATGGACATCGCTTCATCCTTGTCGCGATTGACTATTTCACAAAATGGGTAGAAGCAAATTCATTTGCTAGCATCACGCAAAAGACGTTCCTTAAATTCATAAAGACAAATATTTTATGCCGATATGGGATTCCTGAAAGGATCATTACTGATAATGGTCCCAATCTCAATGGAACGAAGTCAGGAACTTTTGCGAGAAGTTCCAAATCAAGCATCATAATTTAGCCCTGTATAGACCTCAAATGAATGGAGCAGTTGAAGCAGCCAATAAAAATATTAAGAAGATCATTGGAAAAATGACAGTAACTTATAAGGATTGGCATGAGATGCTTCCCTATGCTTTACATGGTTATCGTACTACTGCACGCACATCCATAGGGGTGACCCCATACTCCCTTGTTTATGGAATGGAAGCTGTTACACCCATTGAGATAGAAATACCATCTTTAAGAGTATTGGCAGAGGTAGATTTAGAAGAAAATGAATGGATACGAACCCGATTTGAGCAACTTAACATGATTGAAGAGAAAAGGCTCATTGCAATGTGTCATGGACAATTGTACTAAAAGAGAATGGCAAGAGCTTTTGATAAAAAACTTCGCCCACGGGAATTCAGTGCTGGGGATCTTGTACTCAAGAAAATATTGCCTAACCAAGAAGATAATAGAGGCAAATGGGCTCCGACCTATGAGGGACCTTATGTTGTCAAACATGCCTTTTCTGGAGGAGCACTGATCCTAGCTGACATGGACGGTCAAGAGTTAGCAAAGCCCATTAATGCAGATGCTGTCAAGCGTTACTTTGCTTAAACAGAAAATGAAAAAGAATGAAGCGCTCGTTAGGTTGAAAACCTGTAAAGGCAACCTAGGCAAAAGTTAGAGCTAATAGAAAATGAAAAGGAAAGAATAGCTCGTTAGGTTAAAAAACCTGTAAAGGTAATCTAAGCAAAAGTTAGAGCTAAAAAAAAAAAGGGGGCAAAGCCATGATAAGAAGAAGAAGAGTTCGCCAAGACAAAAGGATGTCTTAGGAGAAGAAAAGGAAGGCATCAAAAGTTAATTATCTATGTTTGGGAAAGTTGTCTCCATCGTCTCTCATATTATGCATATCAATAGCAGCTCAGTGAAACACCTGTTGGGGTTTTGAAAAGCTAAAGGAAGAGATGTGATTAAGTAAATCCATATATCCCATTCGCGCTTTAGCCATTTTACTCATAGACCAAGATATTCCCATTTCTCTATGAATTTTAGCATCAGTGAATGAATTTTTTCCGCCCTTGCTCCTTTGAGACCATCTTTCTTCTCGTTTCGTGTTATCATATTCAAATTCATATCCCCTATATTACAGCAGGTTCGCATTCAAGGAACAATATTTATTGACGCATTTACTTGACGTAGAATGCTGGTATCTTTATTCTCGCCTTTCGCCCTTGAGGTATCAAGATCATTACGTAGGTGTAAAATGATAATGAGAGCATGTCTACTATCAGTGTTTGGTTATAATAGTTAATCTCATTAATTTGAAGACAAGATCAAGTGACGAGAATTTGGTCATTGGAATTTTCTAAAGAGGGGCAACGGCATACTGTGATACTACACCTATTAATGAATAAAGGTTAAATAACAGACTTGGAGGTATTACCTTATGTTCGAAATGATTTATTCAATGTGCACAAAATTTTAAAAAAAAAGATAAATACCAAGATAGTTTTCAACATTAAGCTTTCCAATAAAATTTTTGCAATACATTTGTATTATTCATACATTTGCATTGGGGCAAATAAGCACGTCTTACCCTTTACATTGCAAATCATCCATCCAATGTATATTGTACATATTTTTAGCACCTATGAACACCATACATGGCGCATTACCACATTGCATGCCTTGTCATAGAAACACGCCACATTTAAAAAAAAACATGCATTACGCATTATCTATCCATCACATACTTAACTCAAAATTTGCCTTCACTTAGATTGGGGCAAATAAATAAAAAAAAATCATCATGCATTGCATATCACCCCATTGCATGCACTGCTACAGAGTATGCCCCATTTGGATTGGGGCGAACCCAAAATTGCAGAACCCAAGGAAGTAAGAGAAGAAATAACAAACCTCACCTGTGAGTTTCTCATATTTTTCACGTGAGATAGAACCTATTCTCACAACCCCAAAAGCCCAGTATCAGCTGGCATAATTCTTTAAAGCCCTGTAACGGCAGGCACCCTAAAGCCCTGTTACGACAGGCACCCTAAAGCCCAGTACCGGCTGGTATAATTCTTTAAAGCCCTGTAACGGCAGGCACCCCTAAAGCCCTGTTACGGCAGGCACCCTAAAGCCCAGTACCGGCTGGCACGATTCTTTAAAGCCCTGTAACGGCAGGCACCCCTAAAGCCCTGTTACGGCAGGCACCCTAAAGCCTAGTACCGGCTGGCATGATTCTTTAAAAGCCCTGTAACGGCAGGCACCCCAAAGCCCTGTCACGGCAGGCAACCCCAAAAGCCCAATACCGGCTGGCACGATTCTTTAAAAGCCCTGTAACGGCAGGCACCCCTAAAGCCCAGTACCGGCTGGCATGATTCTTTAAAAGCCCTGTAACGGCAGGCACCCCAAAGCCCTGTCATGGCAGGCAACCCCAAAAGTCCAGTACCGGCTGGCACGATTCTTTAAAAGCCCTGTAACGGCAGGCACCCCAAAGCCCTGTCACGGCAGGCAACCCCAAAAGCCCAGTACCGGCTGGCATAATTCTTTAAAGCCCTGTAACAGCAGGCACCCCAAAGCCTAGTACCGACTGGTACGATTCTTTAAAGCCCTGTAAAGGCAAGCATCCACCAGGTCCTTTGGAACATAGGCATTTCATCTCCATTGAGGTTTTGTTTTGTTTAGTTCTTAAATCACATTTCATTTTAAACCCTTTGTTTTATTTTGTTTTTGTTGTTTTGTTTTTTGTTTTTATTTAGTTGTAGGTACCTAAGAGTCTTGCCCTTCCAAACAAAATACATGTTTCTCTCTTCATTCATTTCTAAGATAAAAATATCATCTTATGAAGTTTTCACTTAGAAATCAAATGATGAGGGGGCAACTAGTCAACATATATTTTGTTTGGATCGTTGTCATTTGGTTATTTTCATTTGCATCACAAAAACATCAAGAAATAAAAAAAAATTCATCATTTTACAGTGTTCGTTATCCTATAGTCTTGCATTCTTTTATGTTATTTGGTTATTTTCATTTGCATCACATTGCTTAAAAAAAATCAAAAAAAATCATTTTATTGTCTTGCATTGTGTTTGGATCTTTGTCAATTGATCATTTTCTTTTGCATCACATCATCTCATCACATTACTAAAACAAAAAAAAATCATGTCATTATGTTAGTTAAGCAATAGTCTGGCATTTAATTATATCTTGTCGTGTCAAGGGCAATTAGGTCTTTTCATAGGTATTGCATGGCCGGCCAAAATACATGTTCTATCTTTACTTGTCACTTATGTAAGAATTCAAAAGCACACTTTTTCATATACTTACATAAGAAACAAGTAAAGAGGGGCAACTGTGAACACCGTATTTTGTCCGGGCATTTTTTTTAAATTTTAATAATAAAAAATCAAAAAAAATATATAAAAAATATAAAAATGAAATTGATCCTTTTAGGATTATATTTTCAAAAAAAATCTTGCTCAATTTTTTTTGAAAAAAAATCTCTCTCAAATTATCCCAACCATTCAAAGATATTGGGAATCAATTTTTTTTGAGACTCAACTTTTTTTTAAATTTCTCTCCTTAAATTTTTTCCATTTAAAAAATATGTAAACTTTTCTTTCTCTCCCTTAATCTAATTAACAAAAAAAGAGCATTAAAGAATGGCTAAAAAAAAAGGAAGAGAGCATCAGAACACACGCACACATATACTCTTTCGGCCATGTGCAGAAAAAGAAGAAAACAGCAGAAAAGAGACACGAAATGCAGAGACACAAAATGCAAAAACAGCAAAGAAATGCAGAAACAGCGAAGAAACACAGGCACAGAGACGCAGAAATAAAATAAGCATACACTTTCGGCCATATAGCAGGAAAAAGGACAGAAACAACAGAACGCACGAGCTGCAGATGCTGAAAGAAACAGCAAAAAACAGACATGAAACGCAGAAGAAGCAAAACAGAGCATAAAGAATAGTAAGCAACTGGAACACGTACGCATATACTTTCGGCTGGCAGGAGAAAAGAAACAGAACTAAGGACGCATGCATGCATGAAGGAAATGGCACAGCAGAGAAAGCAGACGGGACGGCACAGAAAATAGAGACAGAAACGTAAAAAAAACAGAGCAGACTTCGGCGCACACAGCAGAAACAGTAGTAAAGAAGAAGCAGAGCAGAAGAGCAATGATTCACCTCTTCCATCCTCTATATAAGACTGAACAGAAAACTAGAGGAGGAGGTTGGGAGAGAGAGCAAGAAAAGCAAAAAAAACGAGCTGGACGAAAAGAAAAAAAACAGAGACCGAGGGGAGGAAGAAAGACGTAGACGGAGATGATAAAGAGAGAAAGAAGAAACAAAGAGAGAATCTGGAGAAAAGAGAAATAGAGACAGAGCAAGAGGGGAAGAAAAACACGAGCTGGACTAAGAAAAAACAGAGACAGAGGTGAAGAAAGAAGAAAACGGTGACAGAGAAGAGTTTTTTTTCTGGAAAATAGAGACGTCCGAGAAGAGAGGAGAAGGAGAACACCGAGCTACTATTCCCACCCAGTCAGAGACGCAGAACAAACAGAAAGGGGAGCTGATCCAAGACACAAAAAGAGAAACGGAGAGAAAGAGTAAACCGAAAAGAGACGGAGACGGAGTTCTTCTGATTCAAAAACGGTAAATGCCTCGTTGATTAATTATTTACATTAGAGATGAAAATCCTTTCCCATGCTTTCCTGTCCGTCTACTCATTTTCTTGTGTTATGAGTTATGTTTATTTGAACTCGGTTATTTGTATATCCGATTTAGTTTCATTAAAATTAATCATTTATTTGGCTTTTTTCATATTCATAACACTTCTTTAAGGTAAGAAGGAGAGACTTCATATGGAAGTTGGACTTGCTGCCATGAACAAATTTTAGTATGGACTTGTAGTGTTTTTGACAAAATAATAAAAATAATAATAAATAAATAAATAAAATGATTGTTGTTTGAAAAGAAAAGTGAAGAAGAGGGATGAAGAGATTATAAATGAAATTTGGCTTGCAAGCCTCACATAATTATGGGCATATTCTCATTATAGCTTTTTCTAAAAAAAATGTGTGTGATCATTACGCCAAATTATGGAATTGGGTTTTAAATATGTTTCTAGCATGAAAAGTCATAGTAATATGTATGGGCATGATTTTTTTTTATCTCCATTAATTCTAAGGTCCTTTACTTGTTAATAATATTGTTACACTCATACCGTATGACACTTTCTATCCACATGTACAATTGTATAAAAGATTAAGAGGAGAGAATTCAATTCTCATCTAAAAAAAATGAATAAGAGAAGGTTTCTTGTATTTTATTAACTTGCCGTGTGAGATTTTAAGAATTTTCGTAGGCATTTAAAGTGATCTTATACCGTATAAATCAATAAGATTTCGCAGGTATAGAGATCTAATTTATATGTACAATCAATGGTTTCAATGACCAACCGTTAAAACCAACTATCTTTTTATAATCTAAATAATCCATTTAAGTTCCGTGTGGGATTTTAAGAATATTCATAGGAATTTAAATTAATCACAGTATCGTGTGGGATAATAAGTCCTCGCAGATATAGTGATTCTCAATTTTT